ATTTTTAATTTAAATTGAGATGTAATATTTTTTGAGAGTTTTTTTTTTACTATAATAGAAAAAATTAAATACAATATTTTCTAAATATTTTTTACTATAAAAACTTAAAATTAAAAACTCAAATCGGTAAAATAACGAGTCCTTAATTCACATGGAATTTCTCTAATAAGACTTGGGGTTGGAAAGGCAAATGCAGATGTGGGGACAAAGAGGGAACGAAAAAAAAAAAAAAAAAAAACCTTGGACCTCGAAGGAACGGAAATTTCTTACCTCTAGCGATCGTAGAGGGACACGGGGAATTTCGACGGTTAAGATCGCGACAATACGTTGTGAGAGACATTTTGATGGAGAGAGATTTACGCATTCATTTCGCCTTTACTTGCGATTTTGTATTATGTCACCCACCAATGCATGCAAGATTCCGCGCGTGGGCCACACTTTCCCCACACTGTTGCGTGTTTCAAACTTCACTACCACCGGCGTTTGCAACTATCATCGTGGAGTCAACCAATCATCAAATGCCACGTCAAAGAACAACAATAAGGGCTTTTTTTTTATTTTTTTTTCCGAGTATTCTATTCATCTCAACAGGTTAAAATTCTACTATTCATAAAAAAAGGTCCTCTTAAGTTGGCAGGTAGAATCCAATCTAGTGACACCTATTATTTTGTGAATGATAAAGTTTTATTTTAATGGAGATAAATATCATTTTTATTTTTCTCTTAATATTTAGGGACCTTCATTTTTTTTTTTTTCGTTTCTAACAATAATGGAGAAAAAATAGGAATCCACTGAGTTAAAATAAATAGGGATTAATTAAAATTTACTTTTAAAAAATAGTGATTATCCAATTTTGCTCCGTACAATTTAAAATGACACAAAATTTCTCTTGAGTTCTTTTTTTTTTTTTTTTAAGAGGATTCTTCTCTTGAGATTTTGATTGGTTATAAATTGTTGATACTCATATGATTGAGGCCTCAATTTTAGATGGTTTTTTATAACATATAGCTTACATAATTGGTTGAATTCTACTCCTCTTAGATTGAGGACAAAAAGGAAGTAATTTAAAAATTATTTTAAAAGTGATTATCTAACTTTACTATTTGCAACCTAAAGTGTCACATAAGTACCAATATTTTCATGAATGTCTATATTTTCATCCTTACTCATGTTACCTAAAAATATGATAAATAGATATAAATCGATTCAGTACGTGTAAATTTTTGATGATGTTTGAAAAATACACTGATAGGAAAAAAATAATAAATCAAAACCTATTTTTTAGTATATAGGACTAAAATTACTGAGCATGAT